AGCTAGATTTGTCTTGGGGTTTCATAATTCATAAAACTAATTGATATATTAAAAAACCAATTATTTATTTTGAAATGGAAATATGTGCGGTCCGGCAAATGCAATAGTGGCCACTATAACTTGCTAAACACAGCTTGTGCCGTGCGTCTAACTTTCTTCCCCGTCTTATATGCCGTGAACGGCACCAATTCTTTTAATAAATATAAAATTGTTTTTTGTAATTAAAGTTGTAAAGATTCTTTTTTAATCTCTTCGTGAATAACATAACAACACGAAATGTTAGTTAAAATACAAATATCACAGATCCACGTTACAGATTTATCTATTTACAGCCATAGATTAGCGGCCTATTGGCTGTAGCTATATAAAAAAAAAACTAAAAATATCTATGAACCGAAATTATTATGAGTCAACTAGCTCAATATACACACGTTATCAAGATATATCTAATTAACATAATCTAAATATATAAATATCAAGATATTTTGAAAAGACTCATCTTAATAAATAAATGAAAAAAATAAACCGGAGTCAATAGAAACCACACATAAAAAAAAATCTCGTATCCAAAAATGACACGTCGAATTTTGGTAGCCAATAAAAAGCTACCGACATAAGGCAAAGCCATATCGTACAATTATTCGTCACCCACGTGGTTTCATATTACACGTGGCACCACACAACTATCTCCATTTGGCCTATAAATACAAACCCTGAACCCACTTCTCTTCTCATCATCTAAACACACAAAAAAACACATCAAAACCAAAACAAAATCTTTTTAAGAAAGAAAGAAAGAAAATGGCAGACAACAAGCAAAGCTTCCAAGCCGGTCAAGCCGCTGGTCGTGCTGAGGTCTTTTTCTCTGTCTTTTTAACACTTTTTTTTCAAAATAGTGAAAACTTTTTTGTAATCTTTTTGTTCAGTTTCTTGTTTGATCTTTGTTTTAAGTAAATGAATCATCTATGATCGATTTTGTGTTGACAATGGTTTGATCGTACTTGTGTGTTACAGGAGAAGAGTAATGTGATGCTTGACAATGTCAAGAATGCTGCTACTGGAGCTGGAACGGCCGCGCAACAAGTAAACAATAC